GAGAATGGGCTTTTTGTCAAGGCGGAGAAATGCGTTTTTCATGCACAGTCTGTTCCCTTTCTAGGTCACATCATCTCGGTTAAGGGAGTGCGCATGGATCCCGACAAGGTTAAGGCTGTGGTGAATTGGCCAAGTCCAGATTCCCGTAAGGCCCTACTGAGGTTTCTGGGGTTCGCCAATTTTTACCGGCGTTTTATTCGCAACTTCAGCCGCCTAGCCGCGCCTCTGACTGCCTTGACCTCCCCCAGAACGACGTTCAGGTGGTCAGACGCAGCGGAAGCTGCGTTTGCCAAACTGAAGGGTCGCTTTGTTTCAGCCCTCATCCTGATAACCCCTGATCCATCACGTCAGTTCGTGGTGGAGGTTGACGCGTCAGAGGTGGGGGTAGGTGCGGTGTTATCTCTGCGCTCTCCTTCAGACGACAAGATGCATCCTTGCGCGTTTTTTTTCGCATCGTTTATCCCCCGGTGAAAGCAATTATGACATTGGCAACAGAGAATTGTTGGCGGTCAAGTTAGCATTGGAGGAGTGGCGCCACTGGTTAGAAGGGTCGGGGGTACCTTTTATCGTCTGGACCGACCACAAGAATCTGGAATACATTCGCACTGCTAAAAGACTTAATTCCAGGCAGGCTCGGTGGGCTCTTTTTTTCGGACGTTTTGACTTTACTCTCTCGTACCGCCCGGGTTCCAAAAACATCAAACCCGATTCTTTATCGCGCATTTTTGACCGCTCCGATCGCCCGTCTACTCCCGAGTGCATTTTACCAGAGAAAGCAATTATGACATTGGCAACAGAGAATTGTTGGCGGTCAAGTTAGCATTGGAGGAGTGGCGCCACTGGTTAGAAGGGTCGGGGGTACCTTTTATCGTCTGGACCGACCACAAGAATCTGGAATACATTCGCACTGCTAAAAGACTTAATTCCAGGCAGGCTCGGTGGGCTCTTTTTTTCGGACGTTTTGACTTTACTCTCTCGTACCGCCCGGGTTCCAAAAACATCAAACCCGATTCTTTATCGCGCATTTTTGACCGCTCCGATCGCCCGTCTACTCCCGAGCGCATTTTACCAGAGAATCTATTCATCTCTACACTCACATGGGAGGTTGAATCGAAGGTCAAGAAGGCCTTAGAAGGGGTAACGCCTCCGACTCGTTGCCCACCGAATCGTTTGTTCGTGCCGGAGAGTTTACGGTCCAGCGTCATTCAGTGGGGTCATTGTTCCAATGTGGCTTGTGACCCAGGAGTCAGTCGTACCATGTTTTTGGTTAAGCAACGATTCTGGTGGCCTCTCATGTCTCGTGACGTTCGAAATTTTGTATTGGTTTGTTCAGTTTGTGCCACAGGTAAGACTTCCAATCGACCCCCAGATGGGTTGCTTCAACCGCTGCCGGTGCCTTCGAGACCCTGGTCCCACATCGCGCTAGATTTTATCACCGCCCTCCCACCCTCCCAGGGTCACACGGTAGTTTTGACCGTGGTGGACCGGTTCTCGAAGGCGGCCCATTTTATTCCCTTGCCCAAATTACCTTCAGCCAAGGAGACAGCGGTGAGTGTCATACAAGTCTACAAAACTCTCGCCAAAATTTGGACACAAATTGGGGTCCTCTGTCAGAGACCACGTCTGTCGGGAGGCCATGAAGCCGAAAGACGTGGTCTCTGACAGAGGACCCCAATTTGTGTCCAAATTTTGGCGAGAGTTTTGTAGACTGCTGGGGGCGACTGTCAGTCTCTCGTCTGGGTTCCATCCCCAGAGCAATGGTCAAACTGAACGAGCCACCCAGGATTTGGAGAGAACGTTGCGATGTTTAGTGTCCAAGAATCCTTCCTCCTGGAGCCAGCAGTTGTCTATGGTGGAGTACGCCCACAACACGTTGCCAGTGTCATCCACGGGCCTATCACCATTTGAGTGTAGTGTAGGTTACCAGCCACCTATGTTTCCTAGTCTGGAATCCGAAGTTGCGGTCCCCTCCGCCCACGCCTTCGTCCAGCGGTGTCGCCGCACTTGGACTAGAGCCCGTGAGACTCTACTCCAAGTGGGGGCGCGCACCAAGGTCAAAGCCGATCGCCACCGGCGGAGACCTCCCGTATACGTCGTCGGTTCTAAAGTGTGGCTTTCTACTAAGGACATTCCACTCCGTTCCATTTCGAATAAACTTGCACCCAAATTCATTGGCCCGTTTGCTGTCACCAAAATCATTAGTCCGGTGACAGTCCGCCTGAATCTTCCTCCAGTGTACAGGAGGATTCATCCCGTCTTTCACGTTTCCAAAATTAAGCCCGTCTTTTATGCTCGCATTAATCCGCCAGTCCCGGTTCATCGCTGGTTCTTGTTTGCTGTCATCTGGATACTGTTCGTCGCTGGATTCACCACCTTCACCACTGCACGCTGCACCTGACCATCGGATCCCCTGCGTCACTAACTCGTTGCCTGTTCACTGACTGTTCTTGTGCTGACTTCATTATTACATTAAAAAGAGTTTAACTGCTATTGCTTCCTCGATCATTTCATGACAGGTTCTTCCTCCTGGCCTTGAGTTGCTCCTTGCATGTATTTTAGCATTGACCCTGCATTCAGAAATACAAGACAAAATATTCAGGGATTCTACTGAATCAATAACCATCATACAAAAATATTGCACACATTAGTCTTTTATATAATATAGTCATATGTGTCACTGGAACATTTAAAATTCAAAACTCTATTCTACATTTAAAAGAGGTCTGATGAGGCACAATATAATAATTCTGTACAAAATTTGTAGGGCTGGGAAAAGATGAATCGCGATTAATCGCATCCAAAATAATATATAAACAGTATATACATGCAAATATATACAGTATATACATGCAAATATTTCTTAAATATATATGTGCATATGTGTGTATATTATATATACACAATAATTATACACAGTACACTCACATATCATGTAGACACTTTTATTTTGGATGTGATTACGCTTTTCCCAGCCCTAATAATTTGACAACTCCATATGAAAATATACAAACAGTGAGATTGTGTTTTTTTTTTTCTAATTGCAGTTTCACCAATAGATGTCGCCCTTTGACCGCATTATCCGATAGAACAACAACGAAAAAACGTATCTCTAAGCGATCTTCCTTTTCTTCTCAAACAAACTAACTGCATCTTAAACAGCCCAAGTAAAAAAAAAAATTCCCGGGGAGAAACCCCCGGACCTCCGTTAAAATAAAAAAAGCCCTGGATCATTTGCACAACTAGCGACGCCCCTCTGGACATGCACACACGAAGCAAGGGCGCCTACAAAACTAACACTTTTATTTAAAACATTGTCTTACCTGCAAACGAGTATCATCCCACTGTCTCTTCTTTTTCCTTTTTTCCGCCTCCGACTCTTGGTGCCTTTTCGAGGCCATGTCTGATGTCGATCAGGTGTCTGCCAAATTTGACACTGATTGAGGAACAGACCACTGCGAGGTGGGGAAGGGGGGGGGGGGGCACCAGAGGGAGGCTGGCACACGAGATTCACCTTTTTCTTCACTAATTTGGTCTAGGCCTATATTACTTTTGTATTGCTTTTGTATATTAACATGCTTTAGACATATTTTATTTGTTATTTATACTAGTAGCCTATTGTGATGATTTTTCACGACCCAGATTTTTTGGTGCCCCCCCAAGCACTTGGTGCCCTACGCGCAGTGCGTGATGTGCGTGTGCGGAGCGCCGGCCCTGAATGTAGAAATAACCATTGACCAAGACTAATAAATGCTGTAGAAGTGTTGTTTATTGTTAGTTCATGTCGTTGAAGGGATAGTTCACCCAAACATGAAAATTCTGTCATTAATTACTCACCCTCATGTCATTCCAAATCCGTAAGACCTTTGTTCATCTTCAGAACACAAGTTAAGATATTTTTTGATGAAATCCGAGAGCTTTCTGTCCCTCCATTGACAGCTATGCAACTGACACTTTCAAAGCCCAGAAAGGTAGTAAAGACATTGTTAAAGTAGTCCATGTGACTCATTCAACCTTAATTTTATAAAGTGTCAAAAAAAAAAAAAAACGACTTTATTCAACAATTTCCGATGCACGTTCTCGAGAGCACTACGATGCATGCATGTGTTGCTGACACAAGAGCCGATGTTCAGACATAGAACCCAGAAGCGTTGCACAGAAGAGTTTCCTCAGCTCTTCCGGGTTCTATGTCCGAAAACTGTCTCCTGCGTCAGCACCACATGAATGTGTCATGATGCTCTCATGAACATGTACAAAGAGTGTTTTAATTATGCCTTTTATTCACATTTAAGCATTCATCACACACAAAAGTTGTGGTAAATGGAAAACTCAAGCATGTTACGCAGCACATTTGAGCTTCAGCAAGAACCAATGAGGTTTGTTCTCGCACGTCAAACATGTTTGGTTGAGCTTTTGTTTGTTTGCTGATCATAATGAATAAATAAATGCCTAAAGTCCATCGGTTCATCATATATAGTGATCGAGTCTCTTCAGAAAATGTGGGAAAAACGTTCATTAGTTTTATGATTTCTTTTGAAGCGTCAACATCTCAGTTGTGTAGCTGTCAATGGAGGGACAGAAAGCTCTCAGATTTCATCAAAAAAGATTTTCATTTGTGCTCTGAAGATGAACAAAAGTCTTACTGGTTTGTAACGAAGTGAGGGTGAGTAATTAATGACAGAATTACATTTTTGGGTAAACTAACCCTTCAACTATTGAAACCTTATTGTAAAGTTTTACCATTTATTTTTTTAGAATAAATAGAATTTTTTATATTAGGCTTTATATTTCTTAATATGTTTATAATTTTTTATAATAATGATTCTCCAATCAAAACAGAATATAACAAAAGAGTCAATGTGAGGCTGCATAATCAGACTGTGGTGATAATCATAAATGGTGTTTAGCAGAAAAGTTATTTATTTGTATGTTATATATTATCCAATTATCTCTAAAATAATATCTATGGTGTACAAATGCATTAAATGCTTAAGAGTCAAAACCTGGAAAAAGTATTTCTGGCGTAATGCATGATACTGTTAAAGTCGTAAACCTCCCCGAGCGAGTCCACATCATCTGGCTCCATCTTTTCGAAATTGTACTCCTGACCTGTAAAATGCAACATAGGCTCCATCACACAAACACTTCCACTGAATTCCATGCACATATTATTACGTATTATTCTGGATTTTAGATATACCCTAATGGGTAACACTTTACAATAACTCCACGCTATTAATCATTTTTTAAGCATGAGTATACAGTTAATCATTATTTATAAAGCATTAATAGACAATAAGCAGTTTATATATACAGCTATAAATGCCTTTTTCTTGATTTATAACCATATCTATAATGCATTTAATAATTGTATTTTCATACTTTGTTAATGATAAATTAATAATTTCTAAATGAAGTATAGCATTATTTACAAACCAGTTAGTTAAGAGTTGTCAGTCATTCATAAGATCACTTAGAAAGTGTAAGTAAGTGTAGTGAATTCAGGTAGTTATAAAGCATTTACTAGTGGTAAGTAAACTATTTTGTGAGCTCATCTAAAGTGAGGACTATTCATGCCTTGTAAAGCATTTATAAAGGAGATTTAAATGCACATCAGTCTTCTAAACAGTAAAGTGTAACAAACACAACACAGTGATACAGAACATAGAAATATTTAACAGCCTTTAAATCTCCTTTATAAATGCTTTACAAGGCATGAATAGTCCTCACTTTAGATGAGCTCTCGAACATAGTTAACTGACCACTACTAAATGCTTTATAACTATCCGAATTAACCCTGAATTACAGCATAAATACATGTTAATAAAGCATTTATTAACACACTAAGTAGCCATCACTATATGTCTAAACAATAAGATGTATGAATGTACATTTAAATAATTTATTAATCATTTACTTACACGTTCTAAGTAATCTTATGAACCACTGACACCTCTTAAATAACTGGTTTATAAAAAATGCAATTCTTCATTTAGAAATGATTAATTGGTCATTAGTAAAGGATGAAAATACAATTATTAAACAAATTATAGATATGCTTTTAAATCAAGAAGAAATCATGTATAGCTGTATTTATAAACGGCTTATTAATGTCTATTAATGCTATATGAATGATGAATTAACTGTTTACTCATGCTTAACTAATGATTATTAGCGTGTAGTTATTAGAAAGTGTTACCGTATAAGGGATATGAAGTTACAGGTAGCAACTATAAGCAAACAGAAGCATGAGATGTCATTCCAGTTACCCAGAGGCTTAGATAGTTCTTGTACCTGGCTGGATGTTTTCTCGAAATATATTAACATGTTCATCCCGGTCAGGTCGTGTGTGCTCGTGCCAGAATCCAATGACATGTCCGAGTTCATGCACCACGATGCCAAACTTGTCGCAGTTCTTCCCGATAGATATGGCCTGTGCACCTCCACCCCTCCGCCCGACAAATGAGCAGCACCTGCAAAGAAGCCAACTTGGGGTTAGAAAACACTATTGAACATAATACTGTAGTAGATGCATTTGGTAAACAGAGTCAAACTTATGTTTGAATATTTACTTTTTTTCTCTTCTCAGGTTAAGCTACTATACCGTTTAAAAGACATTTCTGTCATGACAACTTTTGGAGTGTTTAGCATGGTAATGGACAGACAATGTTGATATGTTTGGTCTTGTCAGAATAGATCTGCTACACTGCTGCTGCTGTGAGAAAGTAAAACATGCTGTTGCTGTACAATATAGCGTACATTAATTACCCGTAGCAGATCTATACAGGTGGAGCTGGGGAAGGTGGAGGGTTTCTGATGTGCGCTGCAACTGCTACAGCAAATGCTGACCAGTATTTGAAGGTTAAGCAGCAAGTTCATTGGCTTCTGATACAGAGGGAACCAATCTGTTCCCTATCAATAATGATGTGATTGCAAGCAGATCAGCCTGTGTCATATAGAGTTTCATGACAGAACTTTGTATTTACAGTATTACATTTTTTTTTAATTTAAAATAAATTCTGAGTGTTGGGTAAATAACTTTAAAAAATAATTAATTACTAGCTACTAATTTCATCTTCACCAGTGTAAGTGTAACTATTACATTACTTATTACTAATTACTTTCTAAATCTCAAATCAACCTCAACCAGTAGAACAATCTAAGGATAGACATGAAACGTCAATGAAATGTCTGCTTTTTTAATTCTTTCAAACAAATATGTAATTGAAAAAAATATTCTTCTTGCTATTTAAAGGGAGGTTACATTAAAAAAAAACGTCTCGGTTACGGATGTAACCCTCGTTCCCTGAGTAGGAGTTCCGTTACGTCAGAAGTGACGGAGAATGGGGGTTTCGCATGAAAGCCAATCCTCTTCGAGTATTTAACAACGAGCCAATGGCATGAAAATGCCTTGGGGCTGCGGAATTTGCATAGCGTATCTCCGCCCCACGCAGTGGGTATAAAAGGAGGAAGTGAACGCAACCGCAGTATGTCTTCGCTGAGGAGCCAAGGCTGAACTCCGGCGTCTACCCAGCGATACAGCTGAAGTGGCAGGGAGACGTAACGTCTCCGTTCCCTACTCAGGGAACGAGGGTTACATCCGTAACCGAGACGTTCCCTTTCGTAGTCACTTCGAGTTACGTCAGAAGTGACGGAGAATGGGGGTCAGTGCCATCACGCCATCTTCAAGCTGTCTTCCAGTGCCCTGCGAAAGTCTGGACCCCTGCACCTTACCTTTTTTTTAGGGATCCCACTTTGACAAAGGATTACCAAGGTACACTGGGAAACATATCCCGGGAGGGACATGCTACCAGATGCCTACCAAAGGAGGACTTACAAATACACATATGGCCGCAAGGAACGCATATGGAGATCACTGGAGGACCAACCGCAGGTGGCTACTAGAATTTAACTCCAGGGGTGGCAGATGGCTTGCCAAGGGAAGACACATGCTCAGAGAGGCTTAAAGTGGATAATACACATGAGACAGTTACCATAGGGAACCGTGCACATGGAGGCACCTAGCCAGCATCCAGAGCAACAGCAGTGGTGCCCGCATCATCGGTGCTGGAGGACTCAAGGCTTCAACGGAAGACACTGAGGAAATATCGCACTTATCCAATCCGAGGAGTGGAATGGCGAGCAAGCGAAGACACCTAAGCGGGTCCAGTACTGGCGGAAGCGAGTACGTGAGAGGACACCGGCTCAATTCGCAGATTATAGAATCTGGCGAAGGTGTTTGGTGTCGCCCAGCCTGCAGCTCTGCAGGTGTCTGTTAGCGAGGCGCCACGCGCTAGAGCCCAAGAGGAGGCCACACTCCGAGTGGAATGGGCCGTCACACCAAGGGGGCACGGACGGCCTTGCTGCTGGTAAGAAAAAGCAATGGCGTCCACTAACCAGTGAGACAGCCGTTGCTTTGAGAGAGCCCTTCCCTTCTGGCTCCCTCCATGACAGACGAAGAGCTGGTCTGAGGTCCTGAACACCGCGTTCTGTCGATGTAGGTGTGGAGTGCACGTACTGGACAGAGCAGTGCAAGGCTGGGACTGCCTCCTCCAGGGGCAGCGCTTGCAGGTTCACCACCTGGTCCCGGAAGGGAGTGGTAGGAACCTTGGGCATATATCCAGGCCGGGGTCTCAAGAACACGTGAGAGTAAGCCGGCCCGGACTCCAGGCACGCTTCGTCAACGGAGAGTGCGTGCAGGTCCCTTACTCTCCTGATGGAGGCCAATGCAATCAGGAGGGCTGTCTACATAGGACAGGGCAAAAACTCTACCGACTGCAAAGGCTCCAGGGGAGGCCTCTGCAGAGCACTTAGATCTACTGAGAGGTCCCCAGATGGAACGAGGGGAGGGAGGCGGTTTTAGCCTCCTCGCTCCCCTCAGGAACCTGATGACCAGGTCATGCTTCCCATAGACTTACCTTTCACTGCATCATGAGACGCGGCAATGGCCGCGACATGAACCCTAAGGGTGGAGGGCTACAGCCTACGCTCCAACCCTTCTTGCAGGAAGGAAAGCACGACCCCGATCGAACACCTCCGGGGGTCTTCTCCGCGAGAAGAGCACCAGCTGACGAAGAGGTTCCACTTCAACGCGTAAAGGTGTCTCGTGGACGACGCTCTAGCGGAAGTGATGGTTGCCGCCACCGCAGGTGGCAGCGAACTCAACACGTGTAGCCTCCACACGTGTAGCCTCCAAGATCGGGACGAGGGTGCCACAGAGTGCCCCGTCTCTGAGTGAGTAGATCTAGACTCAGAGGAATAGGCCAAGGAGATAGGGCGGACCCGTGACAGCTCGTCGGCCGCCAGGTTCCGGTCTCCTGGAATGTACACTGCACGAAGGGACCTCAGGTGCTTCTGACTCCATATCAGGAGGTGGCGGGCGAGCTGCGACAACCGGCGTGAGCGTAGACCACCCTGGTGGTTGATGTATGCTACTGCTGCGGTGTTGTTTGAACGGACAAGTACGTGTTGACCCCTGAGCAGTGCTCGAAAGCGGTGCAGGGCCAGGCGTACTGCCAGCAGCTCAAGGCAATTGATGTGCATGAGGCGCTGGGGTCCTGTCCAGGAACCCGCGGCTGCATGCCCATTGCACATGGCACCACAACCCGTGGTAGATGCATCCATGGAGACAACGAGATGCCTGGAAACTTGCTGAAGAGGGACACCGGCCCGTAAAAGCTGAGGTTCGACCACGGAGAAGGTATGGCGGCACGCTGGAGTCACTGGAACTCGGAGCGAGCCGCGATGCCACGCCCACCTCGGGACTCAATCGCGAAGCCACAGCTGAAGCGGTCTCATATGAAGCAATCCGAGCGGCGTTGCCGCGGCTGCGGATGTCATATGCCCTAGGAGCCTCTGAAAGTTTCAGTGGAACCGCTCTCTTGCCCTCAAACAGTCGAGGACAAGTCAGCAGTGAGTGCGCGTGCTCATTCGTGAGCTGCGCGGACATGGCGACCGAGTCTATCTCCATGCCGAGAAAAGAGATCCTCTGCACGGGGCAAAGTTTGCTCTTCTCCCGGTTGACCCGAAGGCCCAGACGGGCTAGGTGCTGGAGCACCAGGTCTCTGTGTCCGCAAAGCTGTTCTGGAGAGTGTGCCAGTATCAGCCAATCGTCGAGATAAATCAGGATGCGAACCCCGTGTTCGCGAAGGGGAACAAGGGCTGCCTCGACGATCTTCGTGAAGACGCGAGGTGACAGAGCTAACCCGAAAGGGAGAACCGTGTACTGATGCCTGGCCTCGAGGCAAACCGAGAACGGTCTGTGTCGAGGCAATATTAAGACATGAAAGTACGCATCCTTCAGGTCGATCGCTGCAAACCAATCCTGAGGCCGAACGCAATCGAAAATGCGTTTGGCTGTGAGCATTTTGAACGGTAGTCGATGGAGAGTATGGTTCAAAATGCGCAGATCCAGGATCGGTCGTAACCCACCGGCCTTCTTGGGGACAGTAAAGTATGGGCTGTAAGCCCGGACCTCACCTCGGCTGGAGGGACCGTCTCGATTGCACCCTTCGCCAGCAGGGTCGCAATCTCCGCTCTCATGACCGGGGCATAGCCACCGACCACCGGCTGCTGCTGGGGCAGCGTGGGAGGGAAGGGAGCCGCAGGGGGGGCGTCCTTGGCAGCGAGCGGGCAGAGGCGTCTGAGCCGACGGCTGGGTGGAGGCAGCAGCTGGCCGTCGGGGCAGAAGTGTAAACCCACCTCCGTCTGCTCCTAGGCGTTCGAGAAGTGCTGGGCAAAGTCCTGGACCGCACCGCCGAAACATTTAGATGATGCTCCTGGACCACAGCGGTGGGCATCACCTGACCAAGGGAGCGAGCGGCCGCTTCCGTCGCCCGTTTGAGAGCAAGGTAGGCAGCAGGCTCGCAGCTCGCTTGGTCCGTCCTCTCCTCATGCACATTCCTGAGCAGCTAGCAGGTGCTCATCATATGCAGGGCGGAGGCTGCCTGTCCCGCCGCTCTACAGGATCGCGCCGCCATCGACGACGAGAACCCATAGGCTTTGGATGGGCATCTGGGAGCACCGCGGGAGGACGCGCCCTGCGGACGCAGCTGCATCGCAACAGAGCGCTCCACCGGGGGAGTCCCAGCGTACCCACAGGCAACCGCGTCGCCGAGGGGAGGAAAGGCGGGGAAACTGAAGCACGCTCTCGGGGCTTTTTTTTTTAACCCAAGTGCGTGTCAGTTCCGCATGCAACTCTGGGAAAAAGGAAATTGGGATTGGCCGTGGCCGTGGCCGTAAGGCGGCAGCGTTACCCAAAAACCAATTATCCAGCCGCGAGAGATCGGGACAGGGCGGAGTTCCACCCCCACCCGATGCTCGCGGAGGCCCGAGATAGCATGGCCATCATCGCGGGATCAGACACGGCGACGTTGACACTCCCGAGGGAGGCAACGCGGCCGCATCCTCACTTCCCGAGGAGTCAAGCCCGCCTTGTGATGCTGCGATCGTCATCGCATCATCCTCTGGAGCGCTGAACGAAACAGACGGTACCTGCAAAGAGACAGACGTCTGAAGCGATACAGCGCTCACTGGCTCTAACACTGGAGCGGTGGGTGTGGCCCGAGGAACTAGCGTCGGGGGTTGTGCCACACATTCACCGTCATATCACCCTATCCGCAAGTCGAAGAGCTTCTATTTTAAGAAGCAGAATGAGTAACGGACACGGGGACTCTCACTTTACCAGATCATTGAGTCTAGATCACAGTGTAGAGATGCTCATGTTCCCATTCAGAAGGAACATGAGTCATCCACGAACGCTGCTACTGCATGCTGAAAGCCCAGGCACACAGAGCAGCGATCGCGACCATCAGAAAATGACATGAAACGATCGCACCCAGAAGAACACGGGCGAGTCGTCTTTTTAAAAGACGTGCCGCGTGCAGCTCTTTCACTTAGAGAGGAGGAAATTCACTCTTTCAGCGCTGAGGCGACCAAGGAGAAGCGCAAAGTCTGGCAGATCACTGCTCAGATCGCAGGCAATGCAGAGTCTGGCTGGGTACTGCCGTCACACCAACACTGAAGAGGACGCTCGTCTCGAAGAGTCTTGAATCAGTGAGAATGGCTTGAGGAGTGAAGAAATCTCTTGGCTCCGAAGCAAAAACATACTGCGGTTGCGTTCACTTCCTCCTTTTATACCCACTGCGTGGGGCGGAGATACGCTATGCAAATTCCGCAGCCCCAAGGCATTTTCATGCCATTGGCTCGTTGTTAAATACTCGAAGAGGATTGGCTTTCATGCGAAACCCCCATTCTCCGTCACTTCTGACGTAACTCGAAGTGACTACGAAAGGGAACATACATTTTTACATTATACATTAAATTGTAATTGTTTTATATAGAATTGTTCCATAATCTATACAGTACAGTATTTAATGCAACTACATAATGAACTGTGATTAAATATAGAAAAAATAATCAGAAAGAGTAATCATTTATTTTACTTTTTCAAGGGAAAAGTAATTCAATTACTGTTAGTAATTCAATTACCTAGTAAATATACACAACACTGGTTTCCACGAACATATTAAGCAACAACTGTTAAATATTATATGAAATAAAAAACAAATGTTTCTTGAGCAGCAAATCTGCATATTAGAATGATTTCTGAAGGATCATGTGACACTGAAGGCTGGAGCAGTTGTTACAGACAATTACAGATTGTTACAGAATTAAATGGAGGGGGGAAAAATATATAAATATATATATATTTAAAATCACCATATTAGTGTTTTACTGTATTTTTATACCAAATGCAGCATTGGTGAACATAACATGAGTGGTGTTTGTCTGAACAAATGAGGCAGGGCAGATGATGTTTGAGAAAGCTGTTCGAAAACCATCGAGCATGACAACAAGTAAGTTCATCCTTCAGCCAACTGAGTTATTGTGAGACACACAGGGAGCTGAATACAGCAAATTCTATAGTCTGTCAGACCTTGAGGTCAGGATCTGCCTCTGCTGAGAAGAAAAGGCTTTGTGTTGACAGAATCCAAAGCAAGGATGTTTTTGTCACAGGCGGCACATGGCCTGCTCTTTTGGGAACTGCGGTGGAGTGACATGGCTGTTGGACCCATGAAAATTTCAGCAAGGTCCTTCTTTTTACTACACTCCACGTCAATCATTCATTTAGTGCTATAAAAATATAGTGTTTATTTGTTGATCAAATAGTGTAGCCTTGGTTAGCATAAGAGACTTCTTTCAAAAAAAAAAAAAGGCTCAGGCTCAGGTCGAAAATCCTTGGGATTGTATAATAACATTAAACAATTTCTTAAGATTGTATAACAACATTAAAACTATATTAAAATTAATGTATTATTATATTAATTGTATGCATATATATGTGCGGTCACTCTGAAAAGCAACAAAGCCGTGTTTTTAATCACAATTGACCCTTAATTTACCTTCTTAATGGCAATTAAACAAACAATTCAATTATGTTAACCAATAGCAAAGCTATTTAGACATTGATTTTGCAAATACACATTCACACAATTCTAGCTGCAATAGTTTCTAATTAGACAATCATGTATTTTTGTGTGTGTGTTGAATGTCTTGTAAAATGATTTGTGAATGGCAATTCACAGTGACTGCACTGAAGCAATGCATGCTGGGAGCCAGATTTGCTCTAGAAGAAAACTCGCTTGTGCACTTGTTGCCTATAGAAAGTCAAATCAAGGAAACTGCTGTAATGATTGGAGCTTTGGGATACTGGCAGGGAGGTGAGATTCTGAGCATCACGGACTGAGGGAGAAACTGGAATAGTCAATAAAGTGAGCAACAGTAGCCTCTCTACAAAGAAACTCAGAACACGAACTTACCCACATGACCGGATGGTAAAGACGATGTAACTCTCCTCCGTGCTTCTTTCCTTGAAGGTCACACAAGTGTGTTTCTCCCAGTGACGCATGGCTTGCTTGAAAATGGCTCGCTGGCTGCCTACAAGGCATTTGATTTAAATCAGTAAAGGACGTCTAGATAACACTTTGGGCACCAACTTACTAATGAAAAATTACAAAGGATAGTAAGACGAGCAAAATAATCCATTTTAGGATTAGTGTTAAGCTTACGGCAAAATAGAGCTTTTGTATGATGTTAAGTGCAGTTGGAAAAACTACATTAAACTGGAACATTAGGACATTGGGGAAAAACACATTCTGTACAGAAGAATATGAAATAAAAAAAACAAAACATGGGGTCTTACCGCTAAAGTTGCCACTAATAATATAGGGTATTATTCCATCCGGCCAAACTCTCTCAGGTCTGGCTGTGGCTGCTCTTCTTCCTCGTAGAAGGCTTCGATTGGCCAAAACTGGGTCCTTTGCACTGCTATTAGCTGAGGATCTGTTTGCTAGGGCAAAGACAATGCTTCAGACAAAATTTACTTGTCTACTTTACTTTAAGAATATTCCATCAAGTTTATAAAGGCTGAACTAAGCCTTTGCAAAACTAAGCTTTGTGCAGGAAGTTCGTAGGTTCATGAAAAGATAACTAATTCAACCTTATGATGTAAAATCATAAATAATTTTAGAATAACAACTAAGTAGTACAGTAAGTAAAAAAAATTATGAAATATTTTATTTGTTAACCTGAATGGCAACTAACCATCAGGGAACCATGCTGTTCATTTTTTTAATATTGGGGCCTATCATACACCCGGCGCAATGCATCACAATTGTTTTTTGCTAGTTTCATCCCAACAAAGTTATCATTTTAACGTCCTGCACCAGATTGCATTTGCGCCTATTTGTGCGCCTGTGAGCGTGAAAACGAGGTGTGTTCAGGCGCATTATTGGCACATTGCTATTTTGAGGCCACTGAAATAGACTGCGCCATTGACCGACAAACACCTGGTCTGATCTGTCTCAGTCACTACAATGGCCAAATTCTTCAAGGTTTATTTTTTTGTCCAGTTACCAGAATCAATAATTAGTGAAGGTAACTGGATATGATTCACAGCTATACATTATGATTAAGAGTATTTAACAATGTAACATAATCTAAAGGTTTAGTTCACCCAAAAATGAAAATTAAGTCATTAATTACCCCCCAACGAGAATTCTTTTTGTGCAAAAAAAAAAAAAAAAAAAAAAAACTACAAAAATAACGACTTTATTCGACTATTCCTTTTCTTCCTTGTAGGCCTGAGATGAGTGTTCAAGAGATTTCCGCGACGCATGCGCAAGAACTGAACAAGAAGTAGTAGAAAAATAACGTAGTTGTCAAGCATGCTTCGTGGAAATCTCTTGTCTCAGGCCCAGAAGGAAGAAAAGGAATAGTCAAAGTCATTATTTTTGTTTTTTTCCCGCACAAAAAGTATTCTCGTCGCTTGATATACTTATGCCACTGTAGTCACATGGAATATTTAAACATTTTCTTCAATGACTTTCTGGGCTGTCAAGTTTTAATCCCTTAGGGTGCCTATGTGGAAGTGATACAGCTCTCAAATTTAATAAAAAATATCTTCATTTGTGTTTCAAAGATGAACGAAGGTCTTACGGGGTTGGTACAGCATGGGGGTGAGTAATTAATGACTTAATTTTCATTTTTGGGTGAACTAACCCTTAATTACAACTACAAGTAATATATATCTGATTACGTAATCCAGATTACATGTAATCGCTTACTACCCAGCACTGAATATCATTGCATGGTATAGCAGCAGTCTGTGCTTGGCAACCATACTCACCTGAATCAGGTATAGGAAAGTTAGAAGAGTCATTCTCTGTAGCATCCATATAGTTCACTTTAAGAAAGCGCAAGTCCTCCTCATCTAAGGCTATGTCCCCTAGAAAAGCAGCTAAACAAAGATGACAATAAATCACCATCTGAATTTCTCAAGGTCAAGTAACATGCAACCCTGTTAGATTGATGAGGGGTCATGATGAGAAACAGCTTTCAGCCCAGTTTCAGGTTCTTGTTAGATATTCACAGGTCCCCAAAACTAAATCTGTGCTCTGGGGTCACACCTGCAAATTGTATACCAGTCTCAACTCAGATTTTAAAGAGCCCCTATCATGGATTTTTGAAAATGACTGTTCATATGGCGTGGAATATAGCTCTAAGGGAATGAAAACATCCTGCTAAGATTTATATCTGAAAGTGCACCGTATATAAAGTTATTGTCTTTCAAAAGTGAGAGTCGACTCTGAGTCTATGAAAGTAATTGTTTTTGAAACGAGTCATTAGCTGGTTCGTCGTGACGTAGAGACATACTGGCCGCGCCCAGTTACTGCGTGCACAGACGGAAGTGTAAACTTGAAGTCTACACATTCAAATACTTCATCATAGCATCATGTCGAGAAGACGCTGTGTTCTACAATGCAAAGATAGTTCAGCCACTTTGTTCCCTTTCGTAGTCACTTCGAGTTACGTCAGAAGTGACGGAGAATGGGGGTTTCACATAGAAAGCCAATCCTCTTCGAGTATTTAACAACGAGCCAATGGCATGAAAATGCCTTGGGGCTGCGGAATTTGCATAGCGTATCTCCGCCCCACGCAGTGGGTATAAAAGGAGGAAGTGAACGCAACCGCAGTATGTTTTCGCTTCGGAGCCAAGAGATTTCTTCACTCCTCAAGCCATTCTCACTGATTCAAGACTCTTCGAGACGAGCGTCCTCTTCAGTGTTGGTGTGATGGCGGTACCCAGCGAGACTCTGCATTGCCTGCGATCTGAGCAGTGGTCTGCCAGACTTTGCGCTTCTCCCTTGTCGCCTCAGCACTGAAAGAGTGAATTTCCTCCTCTCTAAGTGAAAGAGCTGCACGCGGCACTCTTTTTAAAGACGACTTGCCCGTGTTCTTCTGGGAGCGATCGTTTCATGTCATTTTCTGATGGTCGCGATCGCTGCTCTGTGTGCCTGGGCTTTCAGCATGCAGTAGCAGCGTTCGTGGATGACTCATGTTCCTTCTGAATGGGAACATGAGCATCTCTACACTGTGATCTAGACTCAATGATCTGATAAAGTGAGAGTCCCCGTGTCCGTTACTCGTTCTGCTTCTTAAAATAGAAGCTCTCCGACTCGCGGATAGGGTGATATGACGGTGAATGTGTGGCACAACCCCCGACGCTAGTTCCTCGGGCCACACCCACTGCTCCAGTGTTAGAGCCAGTGAGCGCTGTATCGCTTCAGACGTCTGCCTCTTTGCAGGTACCGTCTGTTTCGTTCAGCGCTCCAGAGGATGATGCGATGACGATCGCAGCATCACAAGGCAGGCTTGACTCCTCGGGAAGTGAGGATGCGGCCGCGTTGCCTCCCTCGGGAGCGTCAACGTCGCCGTGTCTGATCCCGCGATGACGGCCATGCTATCTCGGGCCTCCATGAGCATCGGGTGGGGGTGGAACTCCGCCCTGTCCCGATCTCTCGCGGCTGGATAATTGTTTTTTGGGTAACGCTGCCGCCTTACAGCCACGGCCAACCCCAATTTCCTTTTTCCCCGAGTTGCATGCGGAACTGACACGCACTTGGGTAAAAAAAAAAAGCCCAGAGAGCGTGCTTCAGTTTTCCCGCCTTTCCTGCCCTCTGCGACGGGGTTGCCTGTGGGTACGCTGGGACTCCTCCGGTGGAGCGCTCTGTTGCGATGCAGCTGCGTCCGCAGGGCGCGTCCTCCCGCGGCGCTCCCAGAGGCCCATCCAAAGCCTATGGGTTCTCATCGTCTATGGCGGCGCAATCCTGTAGAGCGGCGGGAAAGGCAGCCTCCGCCCTGCATATGATGAGCACCTGCTAGCTGCTCAGGAATGTGCACGAGGAGGGGACGGACCAAGCGAGCTGCGAGCCTGCCGCCTACCTTGCTTTCAAACGGGCGACGGAAGCGGCCGCTCGCTCCCTTGGTCAGGTGATGCCCACCGCTGTGGTCCAGGAGCATCATCTAAATGTTTCGGCGGTGCGGTCCAGGACTTTGCCCAGCACTTCTCGACCGCCTAGGAGCGGACGGAGGCGGGTTTACACTTCTGCCCCAACGGCCAGCTGCTGCCTCCACCCAGCCGTCGGCTCAGACGCCTCCGCCCGCTCGCCACCGAGGACGCCCCCCTGCGGCTCCCTTCCCTCCCACGCGGCCCCAGCAGCAGCCTTCAGCCGGTTCGCGTCGTGGAGGAGGCCACAGGTAAGCGTCTTAGCCCCCTCAGGCCGCGTGCCCCGCTAACGCCAGGCGAAGCGATGTTCCTGAGACGGGCTGCTCAGTGATAGTGTCATGGTTTTTCTCAGGAGGCGGTAGCAGGGCCCCTCCTTCCCCCGGTGGAGGGCCGGTGGAAAATCTTTTGTTCTAGCTAACTCCTCGCTGCTCACCCAATAGTGAGCAGCGCCTTGAGCTGGTTGAAGAAAAACTGACACTATCATTGAGCACACAGACTGGAATGAGCGCGCACGACGTCCAGTGCGTCGCCCCGCTCATTCCTCTCTGTCTCTGAGGGTGCGGATGGGAGCATGTGTCGTCCCTCGACTACACCACTCCCCTCCCCCTCTATCGCCAGACCCTCGGCAGAACAGACCCCCGTGGAACGCTGGTCCTTCCCTCGTCTCTTCTGTCGGGGAACGGGGCTCGACTGGGCATCCGCACGGGGTAACTCCTGTGTGCATGCCGGTCTCCCTGTACCGCTGCCCCTCCGGGGGGACGTCTGTGGTTCGCATGTGTTACGTGCCCCCTAACTGAGTTTAATCGGGGACATCCTAACATATAAAGAAACCACAAGAACGTTCGTGGACAATATAAAAATAATTTATTGTCAGTGGTTAACAAGAAAGACAGGTAGGACGGTAACAAAGTCTGGTGGTAAAATAAACATAAAGCAAACAGAAAGAAGAACCCTGCTCACTAATATCTACCGAATCCAACACACTTGTCTGCCTCCCGTTCAAAACAAAGACAAGTTCTCGGTGAGTCTTCCGGGTCCACTGACTGCTGCTCTAAAATAATCTTAGACTAAACAAGTGAAAAACCCGTCACCAATACCACCAACTCAAAACAAAAATAAACGACTTCGTCATAACACCCACACAAATGTCAGGACAGGTACTGGGGTTAATGCGTGGTCTGTTTACACCGTTCCGACGCCATCTAGCTCAAAGGCAACATCGGCCAAGCCCATGGGAGCTTTTGGGTACAGCATCCGCTCCGACATGAGCAACCACGGCGAGGAGGGTACATGGGAGAGAGCACGGCGTCCGACCGCACCAGAGGGAGAGCGAGGTCTAAACCCAGTGAGAGAGAGAGAGAATGTGAATCTCCGTCCTTTTAAAAACAGTCGGCCCCGCCCACTCGCAACCGGGGAGACGTCACGTGACCTATAAGGCAGGAAACAGAAAACAACAAAACGAACAAGAACAACACAAACAGTGTCCCCAACGTACAACCACGTAACACCCCCACCCTTAAAGAAAATAAATTGGGGTTTCAGTCAACAAAGGAAAAATCATCCATAAACATCTACAAACTCGCAGGCCGCAGGATCTCCAAAACCTGCTGAACAGGAGAAAGAAAAAAAAAATTAAGTACAACAAATATAAATTTAAATCTCTGATCCCAATTTATTTAACTCATTTACATCAAGCACGAGACAATGCATCTGCAACTACATTGTCACGTCCTCGAATGTGCTTAATCTCCAAGTTACAACCTTGGAGAATCAAACTCCACCGCATTAATCGCTGGTTGGAATTTCTCATGCGATCAAGAAAAACCAAGGGATTGTGGTCTGTATAGACCACCACTGGAGACAAAGCACCTCCGACATAAACCTCGAAGTGCTGGACGGCAAGCACTAGCGCAAGAGCCTCCTTTTCTATTGTCGAATAAGCACGCTGACAGCGGGTGAACTTACGCGAAAAAAAACAGACAGGGTGTTCCAGTCCATCCGCGTCATTTTGCAGAAGAACAGCTCCCGCTCCCAGATCACTCGCGTCAACGGCGATGGCAAAAGGCAAAGAAAAATTAGGGGCCGCTAGCACAGGCGCAGTAGTCAACAGTGCTTTAATAGAGTCAAAGGCAGCTTGACTCCGTGAAGTCCAGGAAAAAGACACCTTCGGACTCAGCAAATCAGTGAGAGGTGAAGCAAAAACAGAAATTTTTTTACAAAACGATCGGTAGTAACCGACCATGCCGAGGAAACGACGGAGTTCACGACGAGTAGTTGGAGGAGGATAATTCAGAATCGCCTCAACTTTAGACTGGACAGGACGCACCTGTCCCCGACCAACCACTTTGCCCAAATATACCACGGTGGCCTGGCCAAACTCACACTTAGCCAGGTTAATGGTCAAATTAGCTTCTGACAATCGGTCAAAGACAGTAGAAAGATGGGCCAGATGTGAGACCCAGGTATCACTATAAATGATCAAGTCATCTAAATAGGCCTCGCAGTTGGACACTCCTTCCAGAACGCTGTTGATAAGCCTCTGAAAGGTGGCAGGAGCGTTTCGAAGACCGAAGGCCATAGCAGTGTACTGCAGGAAGTGATCTGGGGTCACAAAAGCGGAGATTTCCCTGGCACGGAGCGTCAACGGAACCTGCCAGTATCCCTTCAATAGGTCAATTTTACTGACGAATACAGCAGAACCCAAACGATCAACACAATCGTCAACACGTGGCAAGGGATAACTGTCAGGCTTGGTAACAGCGTTCACTCTACGAAAATCTGTGCAAAACCGCGTGGTACCATCACTCTTTGGAATAAGAAGACAGGGCGAACTCCATGGACTATTACTAGACTCTGCAATGCCGTTCCTCAGCATAAACTTCACCTCTTCTAAAAACAACATTCTTTTATGTGGATTTACACGATAAGGCTGTTGTTTAATTGGACGCGTA